TAATAAATGTAATCCCTTTCCATCACCTGTCTCATCCCATTGAGCCTCTGAGATGATCTCACTACATTCTTTCCTTGATCATAGATGAACAGACCCACACTATAATAACCATCCAGCTATAACTATGTATGTGTTGTTATTATTCTCCTGAATCCTCTATTTGACTAATTCTGGTTAACACTTCCATTTAGAGACAGTAGAAACATCTTTTTTTTTTTGGCCCTGCATTGCAACATTCCGGGGGTGATTGTGTAATCATCATACTACTGTGAAAATCAATGGCAGGTCCATATTCTATTCCTGGTTACTAGAAATGACCATTTTTTTAAGAGGAAAGAGAGAGCGAGGAAGGAGGAGGTGGGAGGAGGGAGGTGAGCTGGAGAGATGAGAGGAGAGACTGTCCGATGCTGGTTGGCATGGTAACCTGGCCAGGTGAAAGAGAGTCTGGGAGACCGAGGGGGGGCAGCTTTTGTCTCACGGGAGTAGCCTATCAGCAGTGAGCCTATCCCCCACAATCCCCTGCAGGTTTCAGCGTATCATCACTGCCCTCTGGGTTGCTGTGGAGGAACAGGGCTCTCCTCACTTCCACATAAAAGACTCATTGTGCTGTGCAGCAGAATAGACATGTTGGGACTGCAACAGACTGGCATACATACTATTCTCTGTCATCATCCTCCAGCTTCCTCATAAACACATCACATCTTATTGGCTTCTAAAGAGAAGCAGTGCCTGCGTGTTTCTCCTGTGTCTGTGTACATGTGTGAAGGACAGTGAGCTCTATTTACTCATCTATTCATGCTGTATTTGAGCGCATCAGTATGCTTGGTGTACCCAGGCACATACTTCCAGTCTTTCCAGACATGTACATGTGCATACAGCAAGGGATGAATAAAACAATGAGATTCCGCTGAACAAATAAACAAAGATATCAATGATAAGATGAGTTAGAAAAGTTAACTCAGATGAAGACGAGATTCAAGATGAATTCCTTTGTGTTTGCTATGTTGTTGGCTCAGGCTGTGTTGAAGACTGAATTAGAGATCACAGATACTGATGCCTAATGAGACAGGAGACTCCCCTTTCTCCTCCATCTCACCTCTTCTTTCTTCACTCTCTTCTTTCTTCCTCCCCACAGTCCTCTTCCCATAATTCCACCTAGTATTAAAGAAATACATCAACACAACAATTACAGGACCACAAAGTGTGCCTCAGGGCTGGCTCAGCTGGGCTGCTTGCACACACACAGCACACAATTGTGCACACATGTATATACATAGACAAAAGCTGATGCGTGAACAAACACAATTAAACACACACATACAAGTTGCATGTGCCTCATTACTGAGCACTGTTTATGTTGCACAGACACTGCCAATGGCAACATAGCACCGGGGCCGGGTGCAGCCCATACCACCAGACCCTCAGCCCATATTTCAATTCCTATAAAAGGGCAACCAGCCACTTGTGCAAACAAAAGAACCACCAACCATCTTCCTATATATAGCTTCATTATTATCAATTAGAGAATGGCAAAATGTAGCATAACCATGGTATGTTACACAAGTAGCAAACACCAACACAAGTGCAGTCCAACAACTGTTATAGGCTAATTCAAAACGGTGAGTATGTGCATTGTTGTACACCACCTAATGAAAAGACATCTTCCACAATACTCACACAAACAAAAATAACTAACAATAAACAGGAAGGCTGTGACACTGCCATGGACACAGACAATTCAGCAGACAACAGCAGAGTGATGACTGTTGCCATGGACATGAACAGACAATTCAGCAGACAACAGCAGTGATGACTGGTATATAGCATATACATGTAGCTGTACAAGCAAAATAAATATAATTGCAGGGGCATCAACAATTACACTTCATTGCAGCGATTCTGTACATTTTTAAACACCACCTAATGCACACACACTCACACACACTTACAAAATTGTGCTGCTACATCACTGTAACTTGCAACTCATCAGCAGCTAGAAAATAATGACTGTACTCACCTATCTGAATGACATTCTGCTGGCCTTGCACTATGCAAAGTTTTCCACAATCAGTCTTGGTCAAATTTCTTGGTTGTATAATTTTCAAATATGGAAAAGTACAGTCTATGGCAACATGGCAGTGAAGGATGGATTACTGTGCTGTTAGCCAGGGTGTCCCCTTTGTTTTAGCTTACGTTAACTCATCTTTGGCCACACTTGCTGACAAAGATGCAAAACAAACTAAAAAGAATCCAGTTCTGAAATTTCATATTCCAAATCACGCCTCTCCTTTCTATCTGAGCACCAGCCTTGCCTTTTTTGTCTGTCTTGAATGAATGCACTAGGCTTTTTTCCAAAGTTAAATGTTTGATTTAGGTAACTTTGCACGCTCCATGGGTGGTGCAAATGCAGCTATAACCTATGAGGAGGTAAAATTACTGTAACCCTAATGGTAGCAAGTGATTAGTCCCGCTGCTGACTTAACATTTCTGTACACTGTTGATTTACATTAGTTGAACATTCACGTTGTCCTGAGGGACTCCCCGGGCCCTCAAATGTGGACCCTGGTGCAGCTGCACTGTTTGCACCCCCTGACACGCCACCAGTGTGCACTGCTATTGCTGTGTATTTGCTTTTGTTTCTCTGTCTACTTATAATCTCAAGAAGATCAAAATAAAAACCAATTTAGTTTGATGTTTGCAACATATTGACAGGAGACGTGCTATCTGACTCACACATTAAAATAAAAGTGGCTCCAGCAATTTAATTAGAGAAGTACATAAAATATTCTGCAGAATGTTTGTGTGTGTTGTTGTTGTTAATAACTGAGTCAGGACAATTGGTTTGTTGATGATTAATGATGCAGCATTAAATCAATATCTCCTTCAAATGGTGATAGACAAGATCAGAAAGAAAACCCTGTTAGAAGGGCTGCTTTATCAGAAAAAATTAAACTCCATTACTACAAATGTTGGTTGTGTACAGTAGCTCAAATGTTATGTTTTAGTGTGCATTGGTCTGCCTTCAAAAACATGAAAAGGCTGTATTGCTGTTATGTTGTTGTCAAAGTTTCCTCCAATCACAGGATGAATTTGTAAATCGGTATACATATTTGTATTTGCTTTTGTTTCTCTGTCTACTTATAATCTCAAGAAGATCAAAATAAAAACCAATTTAGTTTGATGTTTGCAACATATTGACAGGAGACGTGCTATCTGACTCACACATTAAAATAAAAGTGGCTCCAGCAAGTTAATTAGAGAAGTACATAAAATATTCTGCAGAATGTTTGTGTGTTGTGTGAACTAGTACTCTGTTTGGTCATGACATCATAAAACCTAAAATTAAGAAGATTGGTCGACTCCAGTTAGTTAACATTTCTATCACCAACTGGTCATGCCCAGACCTGCCCCTTGGAAATGCCCCCTAATATAATTTAAAAAACACAGCATAGTGATTGTTTATTTATTTATTTATTTATTTATTGAGTAAATAAGTTCCTCTGAGAAACATAATCACCAGTAATATTGCCAGAAATATTTTTGTGATTGTTGTAGCAGTTCAGTTTTTCTGAAATGTTGATTGTTACACGTGTGCTATTATCAAACCAGTGTCCTGGTCTATCAGTAAGCGGTATCTGTTAAGCTATAATATAAAAAAGAAATTTGAGCTAAAAATTGTATAGTTCTAATGTATTTCTCCTCCAGATCATGAAATGCCTTTAATGTTTAAAGTACAAACATCCTCTATACAGGTGGAGCTGTTTTTCACCATCCTCGCTTTTTGTATTTCACTCCACCGGGGTGTCAACAACATCACCCTGTGCTACCTCTGCATGTATTTCACTCCACCGGGGTGTCAACATCACCCTGTGCTACCTCTGCGCCACTTACATGGCAAAATGAAAGCAGTTGTGCTCTAAAACGATAACATTTACATAAAGCCTGAGAAGTTATTTTTCCCCTCACTTTTCCAAACGTCTCTCACAAAAAAAATTCTGAGTTGTCATGCAAAATAAATCAGCATTTTTTTCCTACATCCCAAATGGCTGCAGAGTGAATAAGAGATGAGGCTTAAATGTTTGCAACCTCTTCCCTGACACTTCCCATCACATCACTGGAGTCACGCTTTGTGTGTCTGCCTCTGTGTGGCAAGAGACAGGAAATGCGAGTGAGCACACATATTTGTCTGCATACTTGAGCTTGTGTGTGTATGTGAATTTGAATGTGTGTGTGAGCCTCTGGGAGCAGAGAGCTGTTGTACACTCGGATGTAGGTGTAATGAGGCGTGCATGTCGTTAGTGTGTGTTTAGTGTGGTGTCTTCAGAGTATTGTTAGAGCATCACTGGACCATTTAGGACCCTCAAATACAAGATACATGCCAAGGCTGCTTTATATCTTCAGCACAACGTTAAAGGGAAGCTATTAACAACGCTCACAGCACTTTTTGTATTTACATCAGTTTAACTCCTTTTTGGTTTCTTTAAAATATGTTAAAATGATGCATTTAACAAGTAATGAGTATTTTTGCATTATGGCCTGATAAATAGCTTCATAACTTTATACATTGTTAGGTGGCACAGCATTGATTTTTAAAAATACAAAACTGAAATTACATGTGATAGTAATGAGGTCTTTTTTTTTTCAGGGACATCGCACATTAATCAAAATCACTGTAAATGTGCCAGTGTTAGACAGGAGGCAAATTTTCAACCACTGCTCCTTCATAATGTATTGCTTTATTGATACCCTATATCAATTATCCTTATGAGTATGTATTTAATAATATTTTAGTTATTTATTCTGTTTGACATTGAACACTAACTTAATCAAAAGTTATTTGACCTGAACTTCATTCTCTTGGTCCTTTTCTAGTGTTGTTTTTTTTTTCTGAACAATGCATCTGTTAAAATTCAAATCAAGTACGGTACCAATATGGTTCTTCTGTGAAATAAATCTAACAAGATGTCTTCTTCTTTGTCTCCATCTTATTTCCACACCAGTCCCTGCCATGATCACGTCTTACCCCAACACCACATTGGCCACGCAGGGTGAAGAGAAGAAAATGAGTTGCACAGCCCACGGTGAGAGGCCCATCATGGTGCGCTGGGAGAAGGAGGAACGCATCATCAACCCAGAAACCAGCCGCTATGTGGTTTCTGTTAAGGAGGTGGGCGATGAAGTCATCTCCACCCTGCAGGTAGGAGGCTGCTCTGAAGTATAAAATTCAAATAGGGGTCATATATTGTATTGCTGGTATTTATTTTATGTATGAAGCCACAGCACAGCCACAGATTTTCTTTGAGTTTGATGATGATCTAAATCAGTTCCCAATCTCAGGGTTAGGGTTAGGGTTAGAGTGTCAGGCTGAATCAGAGGGGCCACCAGATCAGAGGGATGAGACTCACTTTTTCTGGATACTTGGACTGGATACTTTCACTTACTCAGGCCTCTAAACATCTTTCTCAGGAAACAGTGTGAGACAGATGTACAGTATCACTCTTTGGTTAAACCGCTGTCCTCACTTTGTGTACAGTGTGGCCATAACTTAATTAGAGCCACATGTAGACACATTCAAGGGTCACAAGACAAAGCAGATGTAAACCACTCTGTCTTGTAAATTATGTTACAGAAGGTTTCCTTTCCATCCAACACAACCCTGATAAGGTCTCAAAATGTAAAGATATCAAATATTGGTGACATTTTAATACCAGTGGACATCCACCTAGGTATTTTCTTTTTCATCAGTGCATTGCCAACCTCATCTCATCCTTGTGCATCCATCATTAGATCATGCCAACAGTGAGGGAGGACTCTGGCTTCTTCTCCTGCCACGCCATCAACTCTTTTGGTGAAGACAGAGGAATCATACAGCTCACAGTCCAAGGTACAACTACACCAACCTAAACTGTTCAAAGAACAGAGAACTTTTTGAGCCTCACTCAAACTGCAGATAATAGCAGCTTGAGTGAAATAACAATGTGCTTGTAATCTTTGTCCCTTGTAGAGCCCCCAGACCCCCCAGAGGTGGAGATCAGAGAAGTGAAGGACAGGACCATTGCCTTGCGTTGGACTATGGGTTTTGATGGCAACAGCCCAATCACAGGCTTTGATATTGAGAGCAAGAACAAATCAGGTACATGAAAATGCATTTAGGTCCATAATTAGATGGTATAATTGGAGTCTGACATACTGAGCACTAAGTATTTCACATAGCACAGGCTCAAATCTGTAAGCTTGTAGAGAGTTTTGTTTATGTCTGCATTCTGCTTGTCTCAGGACTATATTTTGATATAGCTGGATTTCACCTCTCTTCTGACTTCAGCAACCACAATAAACCTTGCTCTGTCCCATCCACAGCCTCCTGGGATACTGCTCAGAAGACCAAAGATGTTTCACCTCAGCTCAACCAGGCCACCATCATTGACCTCCACCCCTCCTCCACCTACAACATTCGCATGTTTGCCAAGAACTTGATTGGCAAGAGTGAGGCCAGCAATGAGCTCACCATCACCACTGATGAAGCAGGTGAGAATGACTGAATGACTTTTACTTTCTGCCCCCATGCTCAAACAAACTATTCAGAACCCTACACTTTTTACACACACTATTTTGTACTACAGACTTAATTTTAAATTGATTAAACTGCCATTTGCAAGTCTATGCTCAGTAACCCATAGCAACAAAGTGAAAATGCGTTTTTAGAAATTTACAAAAATGTATTAAAATCAAAAAAAATGACAGCATTCAGACCCTTAATACAATACTTTGTAGAGGCCTCTTTGGCAGCATGTACACCTTCAAGTCTTATTGGTTAAGTATCTTCAAGCTTTGCACACCTGGGTCTGGGCCCTTCATCACATTCTTCTGGGCTGATCCTCTCAAGCTCCACCAGAACAGAAGGGATGGGAAGTGTCTGGGAGCTGCCATCTTCAGGTATCACCACATGTCCTGTGGAGGTTAAGTCTGAGCCACTCAGGCACAATCAGAGACTTGTCCTGAAGCCGCTCCAGTGTTGTCCCCTGGCTGTTTGCTTCAGTTCATGGTCATGCCGAAAGGTGAATTGTTGTGCCAGTCTCAGGTCTCTGCACTCTGGAGCAAGTTTCCTTCATGGACCTCTCTGTGTTTGGCTGTGTTCATCCTTCCCTCAGTTCTGACCAGTCCCCCCGCTGAGCTGCTACATGGTTGTCCTTCTGCCATCTGTTAAGATTTTGGTGTACAGAAACCTGTTGAAGACATGGAGTGGGGACCTATGGTGAATGTGTGATTTAATGCACAATAATAGGAACTGTTCAGAAGTAAATAGCCAACAGGGTAATGGATGTACATACACAGGTGAGTAACCAAGACTAACAGCAAGTACTAGTAAAAAGAACACAGAAGATACACAAGAGAGACTAAACTTAGGCAGGTGCAGATTTACAAAGAGAACATGGGAGAGTAACAGAACTTAAGCAGTATTCAGAACCAGAAAACACACACACACACACACACACACACAAACACACACACAAGTAAGCAGTGAAACTCCCTAAAACTACAGGTTAGAAAGAAAAGAAAATTAGAATTAGAAAGAAAGAAAATGTCGAAGAACAAGCAAAACAAAAACATCTTCCAGTTCACAGTCACTGGGGCCAGTGTGTTCCTGGGAATGCATAGAGCTGTGGAAATGGTTTTCTGCCCTTACTCTCATTAAAGCCTCACCACACATTTTACCATGGATGTCCACAGAAAATTCTTTGGACTTCATGGCTTGGCTTTAGTTCTGACATGCAGTGTGTACTATGGGGCCTTATATACACATTTAGGTGTCTTTGTAAACTATACTGTAGAGGGGCAAATAAATATAAAAACCCAAGTAAATGAGTGTTCTCTTCCAGGATAACACTGCCCCCATCCATAGAGCACAAGTCACTGAATTGTTTATTGAGTATGAAAATGATGTGAGTCACATGCTATGGCCTTCGCAGTCACTAGATCTCAGTCCAGTTGAACACCTATGGGAGATGCTGGAGTTAGACAATGTCTCCCCCACCGTTTTCAAAACACTGCATATGTTTGAAGAATTGTGTTCATCCCTCCACTAGAGTTCAGAGACTTGGAGAGTCAATGCCAAGGTGCACATGGTGGCCCAACAGCTTGCTGAGACTCCTTGTTGTTGTTTTTTTCCTTTAATTTGTCACCTGTTTGTTTGTCCAATTACTTCAAAGTGCCACAGGTGCAGGCCAGCCAAGTTCCCATCTCACAGGTGCACGTGAACAGTTTGAAGTATCACAGCAAAGGGTTTGAATACTTTTGTAACTGAATACTTTGTGAAGCCACTGTATAGAACCTGTTCTGTACAGAACTAAATAATACACAAATGTTAGTCATACTCTCTTCACACTTATTTTGAAGTACACAATATGCAGATAACAATGTAACAAAAACAGAGAAAGCCAATAGTGAGATGTGCAGTGGTGAGTGAAAGATGAGAAGCAAAAGGAAGTAAAGGGCAGACTGAGTCAATTCATAAACAGCACAATGACATCAGCTCCATTGGCTCTGTTGCATTATTGAACACCCGCTGACCCCGCACTAAAAGCAGAACTTTTCAATTAGCAGCCTCAGTTGTAAATGTCACACTATGGTCAATAGACTGAGGTTGGACCCCTTCTGCAAATTAGCCCCTGTCTGCCTTCATCTCTTTCCTCTAACACCCCCCACAAAGAACCTTCAGCACCCGCCCATTTGTTCACGTCGCCAGATTCAGACTCACTCATTCTAATCTTTGAGACAGTTCCTGGGTGTGTACAGTTGTATGTGGTAATTTTAGCGGTCTCATTTCAGCTCCTGATGGACCCCCTCAGGAAGTTCAGCTGGAAGCCATCTCCTCTCAGATCATTCGAGTCACTTGGCGGGTAAGTAAATCCAGTCCTGTGGGTTAAAAATGTATATGTATCCTTGAAGTGAGTGTATTGCTGTGCCCAGATAGGTGCAAACTGAGGTGACAGCACTGGGGTGTCATTTCTGACTAGCTATTACAGTTTGAAATCTGAAAAATTGATCAGTATTGTTCTCTCCTCTACATACTGTAAATGAGTCTTTGAACTCAACACTTAACCAGCTGTTGCTGCTCAGTGGCAAGCTGTATAAGACTGACCTTGTACTGGTCATCTCCCAGTATGAATATAAAGCAGGACGCTGCAAACAGCATACATGTATGTGCTCACTTGGCACTGAATAAATGAAGATGTTATAGAGTAAGTCCTGTACAAATGTGCATTTGGCTACAGTGTTTATGGAAATTTTCTGTCTTCTTATTTTGTCTGAGTTAACACATTTTCTACAAGTTATAAGTTTTCCATTATGTGCACTTTGGTCCTATTTAAATCTTGGATGATGTGTTCAAATTGTAAATATAAGTCTCAAATGTAGACTTGTGATCATATTTCACTGTGGCTCATTTTGTTTTAACATGGGAAACAGAAACAAGTGCACTTTTTCTCTGGCCATGCAGCTAGAGGAGAAGATCGTGTTGGCCGCTGCATATGGTGCCTCATTTCAAGTACCAGCTTTGACAAATAAACTATTTTTTTGTGATATCCACATACTGTCCTACAAAGTTTGCTTTTCCTTCAACAATATATGGAACGTGTTTGTATTCACTTCTGGACATACAGAATGTGGTGCCATGCATCCCTGACCAGTTGCATATTGATCAATCAAATTTGAATACACCCTTAAAGTATTTTTGGATGTATTCAGTTGCACAAAGCTATCGACATGAGGTTAGACGTGTGTGAATAGAACCTGTCAGATGAAAAACAGAAAAGGGTGCTTCTGTTGGGGGGCGACAGTGGTGCGGTGGGTAGAGCACTTGTCTCCCAACTGGAAGGTTGAGGGTTCAAACCTCGGTGCCTGCAGTCCACGTGTCGAAGTGTCCTTGGGCAAGATGCTGAAACCCCCAAGTTGCTGTTAGAGTGATTTTCATTTTTTAGATAGAAATGAATATAATTAGTTAGGGTTTTTATTATATAGCATACACGAGAACACGTTCGACAATGCCCGTGATGGCGGTGTGCATGCTTGCAGTGGCCTGGGGCTCTCAGCTCCAAACAAAGTTTCATTGTACATGTCACAATAAAAAATAAAGCTTTCCCCTTGACCTTGAGGGTCTTGGGAATATAAAGCACTCAGGAGGAGAGTACAAACACCTTGAACAGTGTTTTCTATTTATTTAGGTGCTATAGGCAGTACCAGCAGTATGTGCAAAGAGTGTTTTATAAAATGTGGTACTTTTGAACTCAAACAAAAATAAAAAAGTTACAGGGACATTCATTCCCCTGTCTTAAACTGTCATCCCACTGGCAGGCACCCAAGAAACACCTCCAGAACGGGGCCATCCGAGGCTACCAGGTGGGCTACCGAGAGTACAGCTCCGGTGGAAACTACCAGTTCAGCGTGATCAGTGTGGAAACCACAGGAGATAATGCAGAAAGCCTTGTGCTAGACAACCTAAAGAAGTTCACCCAGTATGGAGTCGTGGTGCAAGCGAGCAACAGTGCCGGGACAGGGCCCTCTTCCACAGAGGTAGCTGCTACCACACTGGAGGATGGTAAGACAAAAGAAGGGGTGGCTGGAATATGTTGTCAAGCCCACTGAAGTTGGGGTGTAACGTTAAAAGCAGAATATCTTAATAAATAATAAACAAATATGAAGGTAAAAGTCTTAGAATAGTACAAGGTTGATTTTAATAAAAACCTAAAGTGTGCACCATATATGTATAGCCATATGATTTAGTTTATTTAATTTTATAAAATTTTTACTCTTGTGTGTCCTCCAACATAATACAAGTGAACTTGTGAACTTGAACTTGTTCTCTGAGTAGCAAACAGCATTTTGGAGAGTTTTGTGAGGATATATCACAACCTAGTGGAACGCAGAGGGTACTGCCACATGTTGTCAATCCTACAGTGTCTGCTGCTTCCATAGTCTGTTCTCTGGTTTTTCCCCTTCAGTGCCAAGTCGTCCTCCGGAGAACGTCCAGGCCACAGCCACGTCTCCAGAGGTCATCTCTCTGTCCTGGCTGATCCCACCCAAAGACGCTCTGAATGGCAACCTGCTGGGCTTCAGGGTCATCTACTGGGCCAACCTGCCTGATGGAGGTACACACTCATACCTGTACTTCTTTAAAGCATCACCGTTAGGTCCACTGTGTATGTGACATAGAGAAATACTGTCTGCATGCAGGAGAGTTCGCATTAGCATCATGTTTACATTAGCAGATGTAAACTCCTCACAGTCCCCAGGAATCTACAATTGCCATCAAACTATTCTTGTAGAATTTAGAAGTTGTTTGATTGAATTTTCAAGAAGAACTAAAGTGTTCTGGGAATATGATTTTAATGGTAACATACTACTTTTTCAAAATTTAAATGAAGTTTATATGGCATTGTCTGACCAGCAATTTCACAGAGATTCTGAGCAGCAGTTCAAACATTGCTAGTAAATGTAGAAAACCACTGGAGGTCCCCCACAGAAAGAGGGTGACTTACCTCGGTGTGTCAACTGGGTTAACCTGAAACTGTACCCATTATACACTGTACAATATTTATTATACATTTTACACTTCATATCACTATTATATAGTACATTATACACTTATAGTACTTATTTTTTCAGAAATGTCTTGAAAACGCAAAAAGCCTAAAGTTAAAACTGGGTCTTGCTGTGTTTCAATAATTAAGTAATAACATAATTTTTGCTGTAAATGCTAATGAGTAAAGTGTAGCTTACAGTTACCCAGGTGCATTCTGGGTATTTGAGTAACCTCTATTTTTGAACAAATGTCTGTGTGATCCTGTGGAAGCGAGACAGCACAACAAGGCATGCCTTGTTTACGTCAGTAGGATTGGTTGTGACAGCACAATTACCTTTGACCCCTGCACTGTCACATCACGTTGGTCTGAGTATAGAACAGGAACAGTGAGGACTCGACAGGCAAGACTAGTCTGCATGGTAACAATCTGTAGCTCAGTGGGTGGGTGTTCTCCCTTGAATTTAAATGCTGTTTTTTGTAAATAGTTTGAAAAGTAAAGCCACTTAACCACAGAAATATAATAACATATATTTTACAAAAGTCAGATGTTACTGTCTGCAACTAATTATATTATTCATTTGTTACTGATTAGTCTGCCAGTTCAAATAATAATCATTTTCATTATTCAATATATTTAATGCATTTTTTATTACATGCAAAACTGTTTAAAAAATTCCCACAACAGTTTCTTAGAGTCTGCAGTGACACTTAATTTGCTTGGTTTGTGTGATCACACAGTCCATGACTGTTTGCCTAGAATGATTCACACAACTAATCTAAGGTAGAGGCAGGAAGATATGGATAGAGAGCAGTGACGCTGGGAGACAACAATAATTCAAACCCTACACAGTTGTTCCCATGTCTTTTCTGCTGGCTCCCTCATTTTGTCAGTTAGATTCAGCCATTGCCACACGTCCCTTCGTTAACTTCAGGTCCCCTATAGGGTCCACGCCACCCAGTTTGAGAACCACTGCCCTAACATTTGCCTACTTTTATGTATGCAACATGCTGTATTATATGAGTCACATGTTTAGACCTGTGCCAGTAAGAGAGTTGCACCGGACGGGGCCTTCAACCTGAGGTGTCCTCACTCTCCCCTCTGCTGTCCTGTCCTCCTGTCTGTCCATCAGAGCTTGGAGAGATCAGGAACGTGACAACCTCTAAGCCCTCTCTGGAGCTGGATGGACTGGAGAAGTACACCAACTACAGCATCCAAGTGTTGGCCTTCACCAGAGCTGGAGATGGTGTTCGCAGTGAACAGATTTACACACGTACCAAGGAAGATGGTAGGCAAATTAACTAAGCTCTTCAAAATAAAGGCTCAAGGGCAGCTGTCAGGCTGCACATGTCAAGTTGAGCTTCTGTTTTTAGCAGTTAAAATATAAGTTTGACTCGTTGCTCCAGGGCCCCAATGAATTATATTGTCTACTCTTTATGTTAAATTGAGAAAGGGCAGTTTTGCTTAAATGAGAATAATATTTTACAGTAATGATGAACCCCTGTGGTAAAAATGAGACAATGAGGAGCAGAGCCTTAAAAACCCTTATTACATGAATAGTTCTAACTCTTACATGCAGCAGGTAGTCCTGCAGAGTATGACACATTTTCATATATTATCTTTACAATCTGCAGAAAAAGCACGATAAAAACCTTCAAAGTAATAAGGTTAGTTTAATGTGAGAAATATACTCACTAGACCATCTTTTTCTTTTAGTTCCTGGCCCTCCAGCAGGTGTGAAGGCAGCTGCTGCATCCAACTCAGTGGTGTTTGGGTCCTGGCTTCCTCCTCTCAAAGTGAATGGCATCATCAGGAAATACACAGTTTTCTGCTCCAACCCACACCCCACGGTAACACATTGAAAAAATATTCATGTAAATATGAACTTTTTTGACATAGGCTCAGCTCACCTCTAAGGCTATTTGCTACTAAAGTGTTTACTGGTCTGCAACTCTCACTCTCATGGTTCTCATAACATCCTTTTCATCCAAAAACACTTTTACCTAAAAAGCTATTTTAAAAAAAAGTGCTGTACCACAACTGCCCAGCATCAAAGTTAGTGACTAGCTAGTGAACACAGTGGAACAGTAAGGAGCTAAATAGCCATTTGCCTCCAGGAGTTGACCCAAAATAAAGCACATAACTCACTGATAGGAGTTAGGCTTTGGATATGCTGTAACTTTCACACTGGATCAAGATGAAGAATGATATGTTGATCTGCAGCAGCACGTTAAGACAGTCTTCATTGTTTTCCCTCACCCAGGTGAGCAGTGAGTTTGAGGCGGCCCCAGATGTGTTCTTCTATCGCATCCCTAACCTGAGCAGGAACCGGCAGTACAGTATCTGGGTGGTGGCTGTCACTGCTGCAGGCCGTGGAAACGCCAGTGAAATCATCACCATCACACCCATGGCTGAGGGTAGGCGAACTTTGATAGTTAGTGCCAAGTTAGTGTCATACGTTAGCTTAAAGATTTTCCTAAGACACAAATACACTGTTTAAATGTTGCAATGCTGACAAGATCTCTCGATAGGCATTACCTAGTTTCACACCTTTACACCTTCACACACTTCGCTGCGGATGGGTGGAAATGTAACTCATTCTCACTTCCTCTTCTTAAGAATAAAAAAGACAGGAGAGCATAAACTGAATGTAAATATTCTAGTGTCAGCATTAACATGCTTGGTGAGAGCTGATATGCTGATGCAAATGCTGATAGACCACATGGAGTCAGGACCCACAGCTCCTATCAGGACGCTTACAGCCTGTCTTCGAGCTAAGTGATGGATGTCCTCTCCTCCCTACTACGTGACTCAGATGGGGAGAGAAATGCCACTAGACCCTGGCCTTTGGGCCCATAGCGCTGACTCTGTGAGGTCAGGGGTTAGAGAATAGAAGAAAAGACAACAAATATGAAAAAAAATGTGTGTTTTTGTAGCGCCGGCTCGGATTCTGACCTTCAACAGGACGGTAACCACCCCCTGGATGAGGGACATTGTGCTGCCTTGTGGCAGTGGGAGATCCATCCCCAACCATCAAGTGGCTGAAGGAGATGTGAGTACCCATCAGCCTTAAAGCTTGCAAACACACAATATGTAGGTACAGGAATAGATACTGTACATAAACATGTAGTCTCTGGTAGAGTCATTTCTATTTATCACTGAAATGTTTAAGTTTATTCTAGTAATGGAAACATCTTCTAAATCTTCTAAAACATCTTCAAAACATCTGCGTTTCAGCAATGGCACTCCAGCACCTGTTGTGATTGACAATCGGCGCAGCGTCCATAGTAATGGCAGCCTTGTTATCCGTACAGTGAAAGCAGAGGATTCTGGGAACTACACATGTGTGGCCAGTAACAGTTTTGGGTCTGACAAGATCATCCTCAACCTGCAGGTTCAAGGTGAGAAATACAATGTGAAAAAAAAATGATTCTGGGAACTACACATGTGTGGCCAGTAACAGTTTTGGGTCTGACAAGATCATCCTCAACCTGCAGGTTCAAGGTGAGAAATACAATGTGAAAAAAAAATGTCATGTTAGTATCAACCCTCAACAACATGTGCCCATGTGAAACCCCAGCACTCAGCTGGCATTTACATTAAGCTGCACCTGTTACTCTTTGTTTCTTTTACTTGGTTGACTGTTGTTTGTCCTGAGAGTGGTGCTAATGATCACAATCAGTCATTTTAGAGGTTTGTCTGTTGTATTTCCTGTAGTTCCACCAGACCAGCCTCGTCTCACAGTGACCAAGACAACCACCACCTCTATAACCCTCTCCTGGATCCCAGGAGACAATGGAGGCAGCTCCATAAGAGGTCAGACACATACTACACTGTATTTTTTGTCCTAGCGAACTCTCCTATCGGCTGGAAAATCTCAAGTGTGGCACCTGGTATAAATTTACCCTCACTGCCCAGAATGCAGTGGGGCCCGGACGCATCAGTGAGATCATTGAAGCAAAGACTCATGGGAAAGGTATGAAGAGACACATTATGGGGGTATTTTGAACTGCAGTCACTGCAATATGAAGCTTTAATGTACCTGAAATGTTTCTTTATGTTTGGATTTGTGTTTCAAATACCCATCAGGTTACTATGCAGCTTAATAGTTGTTTAAAATATGACATAATGTTACTCTAAATTGTTAAAAAAAAATACAGCAAGTTATATACCTGAGGATGTGTCACCAAACAACTGGAGATTGATTTTTTGTACTTTTCAGATAATCATCAGATTAACTAGGTCATGATGCAATATAAAGGCCCTGATGCATATTATTAATGCATGTCCTTGGACTTATTAAAATAACAACTTGCATTAACTTTTCAGCTAATTCCAAGTGTTATTTTACACTTTCAGCTACCACAAAGCAGAACTTGTAATTTGCAGTCCCACAGTTCATTCTTACTGTATTAACACAGCGGAGCTTTCCTTCTCCCTCGCTCTACAGAACCTCAGTACTCTAAAGAGCAGGAGCTCTTCACTAGCATCAACGTCACCCGTGTCAAGTTAAACCTGAATGGCTGGAATAACGGTGGATGCCCCATCACCTCTTTCACCCTGGAGTATCGCTCCGTAGACTCTCCCACGTGGACCACAGTGCAGCGCACCTCCCTCACCAAGAGTTACATCCTCTACGACCTGCAAGAGGCCACATGGTACGAGCTGCAGATGAAGGTCTACAACAGCGCTGGATATGCTGAGAAGAGAGTCAAGTTTGCAACACTCAGCTATGATGGCAGTGAGTTAACACATTAGCAGGAGACCTTGCTGTTGCCCACTCATTTCTTTCCAGGGAACAAAGTCTTTGAAATATCTGTCATGGTCTGCTGAAACTGGCAGGGAACTGTGCAGGTATGATTGCCCAACTCCTCCAGGGGTAGTATAATGTGAACACTGGCACTGCCTGTTGAACAGGTAGAGAACAGATAAAAAAATACAATGTTTCAATAACTGTAACATACTGAGTGGTAGTTTGAGATAAATTAGTTTTTCCAACAATACCAGTCTGGGCTGAACAGCGGTCTGTCATAACACATAACGTATGCATATGACTTCTCCGAAGGTACCATCGCACCTTTGGTAAAAGCACCCAATGTGAGTGAGATCAACCCCGGGGGAGGAGAAGGTTTGAAAATGATGGTGACCATTTCTTGTGTGTTGGTGGGCATCGTTGTAATCTTCATTGGGCTGCTGGTGCTGAGGAGGAGGAGGAGGGAGCAGAGGCTCAAGCGACTGCGTGGTAAGATGAGGCCAATCTCTCAACTGGATCTCTGATATATGGATAGATGTTTGCTTCTGTCCTCTCACATGCCAGAGTTTAGCCTATATTCTCTATGTTCAGCAAGGGAAATGACATTTTACCTGTTTGTTTTCTAGATGCAAAAAGTTTGGCTGAGATGCTCATGAGGTAAAAATGTTCAGCAATGCCACTGCTAAGCCATTACCAAGACAAGCAGCTCAGAAAGAGACTTAGTCACTACAAGAGTTTCTGATAAGGTTATAAGTTGTGGTTTTGTGCTCCCCAGTAAAAACACACGTCCAGCAGAGTCAATTAACAAACAGCAACAGACTCTCCGCATGCACATCGATATCCCCCGAGCCCAACTTCTGATTGAGGAGAGAGACACCATGGAGACTGTTGGTAAGCACAGTGCTAATTTTCTATTGCTGCCATACAGGAAGTTGCACCATTTTTCATACAACAAATGAACATGGCTGTTCCATCGCGGGGCTTGTTTTTACTGCTGTCCCACAGACGACAGGTCCACTGTGCTACTGACTGATAATGACTTCGGGGAGACCCAGAAACAGAAGTCGTCAACAGTCACCCACACTGTCCACTACCAGTCCCTGTCCCAGGCCACTGGTCCACTGGTAGATGTATCTGATGCCAGACCAGGAACCAGTAAGTCCAGTACGGACTCTTTATTAAAATTCATAACGTATAAAATGTGCATGTGGTTGTGTTTTTTTTTGTTTGCTTGCTTTGATGGTTTTTTTCCCAGCCTTGTTCCTTTTCCCGGGGCAGTGATTAGTGCTGTCACCTCACAGCAAGAAGGTTCCGGGTTCCCTGTGGCAGTACCTTCATTATATGAGTTGTGTCTGTTTTTGCATTTTATGACAGTTTGATAGGCTTTGAAAGCAGCTGTAGCTGGAGATAAAATGGCCGTTATACATACATACATACATATATACTGTAGGTTTAAGTTGGTGGCAACTGATACTGGATGAAGGAGTTTTACCACTGTTACCACAACCACCTCATTAACTTTAGTGAACTTTCCTTCCTATGACTTACAGTAAATAAACACCACATTCCCCTTTTCATTCTCAGACCCTACAGCCCGCCGCACAGCCAAAGCCGGCCCAGCAGCTCGCAACCGCTATGCCAGCCAGTGGACTTTGAACCGGCCCCACCCCCCTGTCTCCTCCCACACTCTCAGCACTGACTGGAGGTTGCCTACCCCCAGAGTCGCAGGCTCTGTTGACAAGGAGAGTGACAGCTACAGCGTCAGCCCATCTCAGGACACAGGTAAATAGCAAATCTGGATAGAGTTGCTTTCCAACTTTGTTATAAAACTTTAACACATTAACAATATAACACTACTCTTCATCTCTAACAACAAACTGGTATCAGCTGTCTTACCATCTTACAACTGTTTTATAACTTGCATTCCAATAGTTCTGCCACTAACTTGTCATGAATCCCCTCACTAACTTCATCTCATGACCAGACCGAGCACGAAGCAGTATGGTGTCAACAGAGAGCGCCTCCTCCACCTATGAGGAGCTCGCCAGAGCCTATGAGCACGCCAAGATGGAGGAGCAGCTGCGCCATGCCAAATTCACCATCACCGAATGCTTCATCTCTGACACTTCCTCAGAGCAGATGACAGCAGGCACCAATGACTACACCGACAGCCTGACCTCCAGTACACCATCTGAATCAGGCATCTGCCGCTTCACCGCTTCCCCGCCCAAGCCTCAGGATGTCAGCCGGGTCATGAACATGGCCGTACCCAAGGCCCACAGACCGGGTGAGGCCATGCTGTTGAAGGACCACAGTTCTGTCTGACTGAAACCTGGTGACATGCTAACCTCTTACCGCAACTGGCTTCATTATGATGCTGATAACACTAAAATCACTGACAATACTGACATCCAACCATTAACTATAACTCTAATACATACAGTGAATCCAAATTAGGTGTAGAAATGTATTCAAGTTGAGGATTCCCTCAGTTCAGCTTAGCTTAAAAAGTGGGAGCTGTTAAATCAAAAATTCAGTCTGTTAAATCCAGTAGCACATTCCCAGCGACTAGACATTTATTATTTTATATTGCTGATTAAAACTTAGTGAGAACTTATTACAAATCTAATGTACTATGGCTGCTCTGTTGAAAGAGTAAATGTAATTTCTTGTACCTATATTTGTGGCTGAGGTGCTAACAGCTCCAAATGAGATGCTGCATCCAGAAAGTCACCTTAGATAGAGCATTCATTGTTTCACAATATTACATATTACATGAACAAAGTCTTCCAAAACCAACACTTACATTTGAGGCTGGCCTTAAATAAACAAATGAGGGGAGTTCACTTGATGTTGGGGATGTGTTTTCTCTTTTTTCTGACTCTGATCCGTCTGTGTTACCCTGCAGGGGGTGAGTTGGTTCATCTCCCTCCGTACCTGCGCATGGACTTCCTGTTGAACCGTGGCATGTCCTGCTCGGGGTCATCCAGGGGGGACAGCTAGCGGGGAGAGAGCTGCCATGGGCCAGGCATGTCTGGGACCCCAGAAGAGCCGTTCACTAAAGCGGCCCTCTCGCATGGCGCCCCCAACACCCACGGAGGCCCCTCAGGCCAGCAGGGACCCTGTGGCCCAGGGGCAGCCTGGCTCTGCAGCCACACTCCCCCATAGAGAGGGCTCAGAGCTGGCCCAGGCCACCAAACTCAGCACCTCTCAGGAGTCCCTGCTGGACTCGCGAGGACATCTCAAACAGAGCAGCAACCCCTACGCAAAGTCCTACACATTGGTATAACAGCAGGGGCACCTGGGGCAGGACTAGAACTCACTCTTAACGCTGGACTTAACACTCAAGTGCAGTAAACTGACTTTCACCACACAGTTCTGTATATATGTTGCCTCCCTTACTTTTACTAATCTCCTTTAATTTATTTTAGAGCTTTCTTTTATATCTTCTTTCTATTTCTTTTTTTTTTTTTTCACTTGAGAGAAAAAAATCACTCATTGGAAATGACTCCAGCCAGAGCTTTGCCAAACTAATCGAGTAATGCGGGAACATTATTTATTTCTAATTCTTGTTAATTCTTTATAATTAATCAGTGATTATTAATTGTTAATTGTCAGTTTTTAATGATCATTCATTACTGATTACCACACTTATTATTACCTTTCCTACAATGTTTTCATAAGAACCCAGACATCTTTTTTGTTTTGGTGGGGCGTTATTTTGTGTTTTCTTTTTGTTTTGCTTTGTTTTTTGGAGTGGAAGATGACGATTTTAAGTCATTTTTTCCTATGGAATATCCTTCTGAAACACTGGTACTTCAGAGAAATCTTGGAAACAACATAATTGACACCAGTCCAAACTTTTCAGCTGCTCTCCAATTGTTACTTTTTTGATGAAAAAAAACATCTATTTCCTATGGATGCATGGGGACTGACCAATTAAAAGACAATGAGGATTATGATGATGGCTGGACAGCCCAGTCAAGCATTTTGTCACACTATGAAATTATCCAATGTGAAGATTTATTATTCTTCTTATTATAAATATATA